ATTTTCCAGAAAAAGGTCTCTTTTAATTTTTAAGATACAAAGCTGCCAGTATCATAGATTAAACTTAGTAAAATGTATAGATAATTCGAAGTTCGTGAAATTTCTGAATTAAAGTGAAATCCATACATTTTACTAACTTTAATCTGTGATACTGACAGCTCTGTATCTTAAAAACTAAAAGAGACCTTTTTCTGGAAAATATATCAATACATAGTACAACTTGTGTAGTTCACATTAGTATAAAAAGTGGAAAAGGATCTTCTCTACTTATTTTGATTTTAATGCGCGAAGTGAGTAGAATATAGACTATCAGTGAGCACTGTTTCTTTTGAACATAGAATGAATGAACATGTCCATAAAAATATATAAAATTCTGCGTCTCCTTATTTTGTTCATTAATGGAAAATAACGTTCTACATACGTATACAAACAACGACAAGATACAAAGTAGTATAAAAAGTAGAGTATTCCATTATTTTTTCTAAATTACGAATATGATTATCTAATAAGTAAAATATGCACACGCGTTATCTCTGACTAACATGACCCGAAGAGAAAGCCGGAAAGCCGTGGTTGTCAAAAAGAGTTTATCTTACTACTAAATACGAAAAAACCATGACTTTTTAATCATTAATCGCCGATATTGACAGACATATATCTCAAAAACTAGACGGTACCCACTTGCAAAAAGTAGCTCAGTGTCATGTGCAGTAGGTGTACTTTAAGCTTGTACGAGTTATACAGACCGATACTTTCTAATTAAGTTAATTTTGGCCCGTTAAGTTGACAGAATATAGGATAAATTCACAGGTTTTCCCAACATTCAGCTTTATTTAGATTAAACTGGTTTGTGCTAATAGAAAACGAAAATTTCTTCCATTCTGTATTTATAGCAGATTTTCCGCTTTCTTTCTGTGTCTGCAAAATAAGAGAAAAAGAAAGGCTAGAGAACGATATTCATCTATAACTACCGTAGAAAATATTCTACACGTAGAATATAATATAAATAGTCTACGTTCTACGCATTCCATTATCTTTGAAGGCTTTCCTTAAATATAGACAATTCACTTGATGACGTTAAAGCTGTTGCTAAATCGCATAGTGTTTGTCAATCTCGAATAAATGATCTGAGATCAACAGAAAGTGACGAACAAATCTGAGTTTACGTTAAGCCAATACTAACATACCTTGAAAAGATTACCGCACTGGAGTCGGTAAACGAGTTTTCTTAGTCTTGTAACGAGTTTGGATCATCGTAATGGATATTTACGATATTGACCACACAAAGTGCTCATGTGGACGTGATATCTAAATGATGTGTTGGTCATAATGAAAGGAGATAACAAACAGGCAGTTGACTCTCAGATTTGACTGATCAAGTACATCGCAATATTCGATTCACAGTAGAGTTCGAAAATGAGGAAAAATTAGCATTCTTGGCTATATTATTAATGAAAAAGATGATCATATTAGCACCACTGTACGTTTGAATGAATACTTCGTATGATCTTTAAGATCATCTATTCGAGCTTGACAAACACTCTGTAATTTAGCAACAGCTTTAACGTCATCATGTGAATTTTTTACATTTAACCGAACTAGTGGCGTATCCAGAGTAGGGCTAGAGGGGGCTCAGCCCCCTCTACAAACGGTTTACCTCTGCTTAGAAAAGGCTCGAGCGCCCTCTAGACGTATGGTTAGATAGGCTGAGCCCCCTCTATAACTTTTTTCTGGCGATGCCACTAAACCGAACCCAGTTTGATTTCGACATTTTTACAAATGAATAGACTTGAACGGTATATATGTATATCGAGATATGACATTAAACTCACTTTCAATATTACATGCAATATTACATGCAATATTTCTATTAAAATCCATTCAGGCATTGTTAATTCAATAGATTTCAGTTTTCTAATTTGTTGTATTCTAATTTCTGAAGTATTTTTATCGCAAAGTAGTTTTAATATTAATGGTTTTGAAAATAAAAGACTATCGATTATTATACAAGTTTTTCGTCATATATGCTTTTTATTCGGTGATTTAGTTGGAAATAGTGGTTCAAATAAGGTATTTAATTCGTTTTATTCATTCTAATGAAGGAAGACTTTTATTTATATTAATCTATATTCATATTGGTCGACGTCTATGATTCAAATCTATGTTAATTGTGAGAGTTTGGATGCTGGAGTTTTAATTTTTGCCTTAATTGCTGTGTCTTTTTTGGGCTATGTCCGTCCTTGGGGCAGCAACTGCTATTACTAGTTTGTTGATAGTTGTTCCATATATTGGTTCGGATTTTAGACGAATGAGTGTGATTTCTTCTAGAGTTCGCGTCTTTCTGGCTTCTTTGTTCTTCATTATTTATATCCTTTTACTATTTTATTTTTAAGTGCTACAGTTATTATTTCTTCATAATGGTGGGAGAAGTAATCCGTTAGTATTGTATTCATAAAGCCAAATGATTCAGTCCCGATTCGTCGACACTCACTCTCACACCGCCCCTCCCGCCTTTGAAATTCTTTGATGTATATTCTTTGAAGTGTCCGATTTGTCGACGAATCGGGACGATACCAGCCAGATTCTAGCCAATTATATGTGCACAAATGCTATACATTTCAAATAAAACGTTTACTTCTACTTCGACTCTCTGTTGATCGCTATTCCCAAATACTCCATATTTTATCATCAAATTTTGTGTGTATAACTTTCAAATGATAAGGAAAAACTTTCACGTTCATATATTGTTTCCAGGCTGAGTTACGATGGATTTTACTTTAATAGCTCAAAATTTTCAAAGTGACTGTCGATCGAAAAGTACCTAATCACTCTACAACGAGTCAAATTCAAAACATGAAAATCATTCTGTAGACAGCTAAGGGCACAGCTACATAATGAGTGGTACTCGAAATATTTTACCTCAACTGCACTAAAAAATACGCGCTTTTGGGTACTAGAATTTTTAAAAATATACATCTCTTCTTAATCAAACTACGATGAAACTACTCTTTTACGCCGTGATTTCTTTGAAGTTTTATGTTTCTTCATATTCTAATTTTTTCCAAGGACTTTTTTTTATTTCTCCCTAGTCAAGAATTTGTATGTTCATCGTTTTCAAAATTGAACGATTTATAATTGCTTTTATTAGCCGTTATTTCATTTAACCTGTGGCGCAGATGAGGGTGAAAACCCGATGTTTTCAATAAAAATAGTACCACTCGATTGCTTGTGATCAGAGGAACACTTCTATGTATTTTTCTTTTGAAAAATTTTAATTTTCTCCGTCAAAAAAACGTTTTTTCTTCAAGGGTGTATAAAACACCGTGTATTTGAATGGAGCTGCCGTCAATACGAACAAGAAATAGCTTGACTGCTATATTTGAGAACACGCAAAAGAATCGAGCATGCCTCTTCTTTTTATCATTGTAATTAAGTCAAACTAAGTTAGTTTTGAAAACTTTTTACAGTTTTATAGAGAATTGTCTTCTCTAACCCAGAATCTAAAAATTCCTTTTACCACTTAGAAAACGGCTGAGAAAATGGAGATTTACGAAAAAGAAAAAATTTCCTGCTATCAATAGGAACACTGACTCTATTTCCGAACACTTATTTCACCCATTGTAGATGTTTGAATAGCCAAAAAGTGCCAGATAGATATGCTAAGAAGTACCAAAAAGTGAAAGAAAAGGAAAGACATCTTATTTGATACATCCCTATTACTTATTTCCTACGGCTCTATTCAACTTATTCAACTTTCGTATTACTTTCATATAGATGTTTTCACATCTTTTAAAGGTCACATTGCTCTTCTTCAACTATTCTATATTGAAGAAACAATATAATATAAGAAAACGAAAGAGAAATTCACATGTGGAAATTTCGCGTGCGTTCACTAAGAAGAAAAAGACTAACTATTACAACAGTCGATACCCTTATATCAGTAGTGAACCGAATTTATTGTATTCTTATTTTAACTTGAAGAAGTTGAATGATAACTTGCAGAGCGTGAGTTGAGAGATGTGAACGGAATTCCATGTACTTATTTTGAGCTCAAATTCGAACCAATTTTGAAATGTGTTGCATCATGTTCCCGAAGAGAAAACCGGGTAAAACATGGTGAAATCAGAATCCTGACTGTCATAAGAAAATTCATCCAAGTTTAGTTTTCTTGCCCATAAAAGTTGTGTTTTTTAGTGTTCTTGTAGCAAGAAACGGGCTTTCATACGATGGAAAAATAAGGTTTCTTCTTTTCTTAAGTCTAAGACCTTGACAACGAAGAAGAAAAGTTTTTTGCAAGATTTTTTCTTGTCATTAGAAAATCTTTATAGCGAGACTTAATTTCATCATGTTCTCGTAGAACAGTTCGAGTAAAAGACAAGGGGGAAAGCACGGAATCCTGGAATCCTGGAATCTCATGGAATCCCACGGAATCCAATGGAATCCAACGGAATCTCATGGAATCTTACAGAATCCAATGGAATCCTGGAATCCAAAAGAATACAAAAGAATCCAACAGAATCCAAAAGAATCCAAAGGAATCCAAAGAAATCCAATGGAATCAAATAGAATCGGATGGAATCTGCTGGACTCCGATGGAATCCGGGATTCTACACTTCTCCCGAAACAGAACAAAAGTGTTCTATATTTCGGGAAACTTTTCCCCAAAACAGAACAAAATATTCTGTTTTGGGGAGAAGTTCCAGAGAATCCTATGGAATCCTTCAGAATCCTATGGAATCCTTCAGAATCCTAGAGAATCCTAAGGAATCCTAGCGAATCCTAGAGAATCCTAAGGAATCACAGGGAATCCTTAGAATCCAGAGGAATTCAGGATTCCAGGATTCTGTGCTTTCCCCCTTGGTAAAAGATCTTGTAATCAGGGCTGCAAAAATGCAAAAAGAATTCGACATAGTCCATTAGTTAACGTTTTTGTCATGATCTGACTGATGATGTCTTTGGAAAAGGTGAAACTAGTACCAAGTGAAACAGTTAACTTCACTATGTATAAGGTGGTGTTACCCTAGTCGAGACTCCTGATTAATCTCCCGCAGGAGTCCTGGAAAAAAAGTCCTACAGGAGTCAGCAGGAGTCCTGTCACAAGACCCCGGTAGGATCCTCTGTGAAGTCATGGAGGATTTTTAAGGGATTCAAGAGGGATTCCTCAAGACTCCCACAGAAGTTCTATGGGATTCTTAAGGAAGTCCCTGGGGAGTTCTCGAGGATTTTCAAGAGAGTCCTTGGGGACTCCCTGCGGGTCTATTAATCTATCTTCTTAATTTTATGTAACTAATTAGTAATTAAGTGCTAGATACTATCAGTGGTACCGCTGCAGCACATATCACCTATCGAAGGTTGACACATTAATGTTGATTTACTAGAAGAAAACTTTTAAAATTTTATCATAGAACTACATTATATTTATATATTGCCTATCTGCAAAACAAACGGTGAATGGGGAGTTGGCAGGGACTCCTCGGGGATTGCACAGGAGTTCTGTAGGAGTCCATGCATGACTTTCTCCAACAGGACTCCTGCAGGAATTTTTTTTGAATTCCTCATGACTCCATGCATGACTTTCTCCAACAGGACTCTCGACAGGACTCCTGCGAGAGTTTTTTGGGGACTCCTCATGACTCCATGTTGGACTTTTCACTTTAGAAAGTTCCTGCGAGAGTCATCAAGACTCCTTACGATTCCTACTGGAGTTTTTCATAAACTTGGGACTTCCGTTGGAGTTTTGCCGGGAGTCTCGACTAGGGTAGTCTTCTTATCGATTTTGAAATTCTTCACTATTGAAAATGATTCAAAAGCCACGTATTTTGTCTGCTTAATTTTCATTCATTCTTCAATGAAGAAGAGCATGAAAACATGTGTTCTTTTCAAAACAAAATACGTGGTTCGATTCGCTATAGTACTCTGAGTACACCTAAATAACGTCGAGAAGGTCATACTTCACTTGGTAAGCGGAAAAAGCTCTTCGAATGACATGTATATCAAAACGCCATGTATTAGTATGAGAGTGTCGAAATTACGAAGAAAAAATACGTGGTTTGTTGGAACTAGGAAAGGATATGAGAGCAAAAATTTCTAGACACATGTCGTTTCTTTTGTTCTCTTCCCTCCCTAGTGAATGTACTCAAGTGTGAGTACTCAAAAAGTACTCTGCTAGAAAAATCGGACGAGTACTCATACGTACTCACACATTTTTTTACTCACTGAGTACTCACCTGAGTACTCATGAGTGAGTAACAAGTACTCTGAGTACGACTTTGAGTACTCATGCTTGGGTATTGTTGAGTACTCATGTTTGGGTATTGTTGAGTACTCATACCACTTTCGGCAAAATACTCATGAGTATTGTTCATCTGATATTTTCATATAGAGGAGTGATCTCAGGTAGCAGAGTAGGACTACAAGTCTAGTCATAGACAAGTCTATCTCTGACTATATGAAGAGAGACCAGTGAGAAAATAATAATATAAATATTCTGTGTTTTTTCACTAAATTCTACATTCTTTATATAGTTTCAGTTTAGCAAAATAAAATGGCGAATGAATATTTCCTGAGTACTCATATGAGTAACTGAGTACTCACTGAGTAACAATACTCAGAAATTATTAGTAGTACCAATATGAGTACTCATGGACGAATTATGAGTAAAGTCGTACTCATCGTATGAGTACTTTCACTAGGGCTGTATCCTAGAAAAGGACATATATAAGATGAATATGGGATATATACATTCTCATCTAAACTAAACAGAATGTGGTCATGATAAGATACAATGACGAGCTACAATGACTATTCATTGTATCTTATGCTAGGCGAAATTAGCTAATCAGCAATCGCTGTTTATTCTCTTGTTTTTCAGTTGAATTTGAACTTTTCGCGTAAAATAGATCAAATCAACCAAAAACCGAGCAGAAAAGTGATTTTTAAATTGTTTTTCCATCAAAGTAATGCATTTTCTTTTGCATTTAGTTCTTCAACCTGTACTGAATAGGAGCCTAACTGTTTTTGGCTTTTAAGCCGTTTTTAGACTGACTTTTTTTCTTGTGGTGTCGTTTATTTTGTTTTAAATTGTTTTTGAGTTTTAGATGTTTTAATTTTTATAGATGCTTAGGTATTTTTTTGCGTTTTGGCTTTTAGATTTGTACGGGATTACTCTTTTCTCCTTGCAGAAGCAGTTTGCTATACGTTGCCTACTTTTTTGATTTTTTTTGTATCCGATGTTACTTGCTTTTGGTGTACGTCAAATCAAGGCGGGTTGGTACCACCGGAGCTGGCGACAGCTGCGGTGGTACCAAGTGGCTACACATGAGTTCCGTTTAGCTCCAAGGAGTTCCACTCAGTTCCACTTGAGCTTCAATGTGTTCCGAAGGGTGGGAGCTCATTGGAACTGAGTGGAACTCATGTGAAGCCACTTGGTACCACTGAAGCTGTGGAGCTGCTTTTTCCCCCTCGCAGAAAATCCTCCCGAATCCATGTGGAGCTGACTGACGCTCACTGGAGCTGAGTGGAACTCATGTGAAACCACTTGGTACCATCGGAACTCTGGAGCTGCTTTTCCCCCTCGGCTTTGTTTCCTTACTTTGTAACATTTCTGTGAATTATAATAATTATTATACAGAATTTTCTCTAACATTTGTTTGTGTTACTTTAAGTTGCCTATCAAATGTGGCGAATTAACGCCGTGTATGCGTGTAAATTGGGAACAAAACAAAGATTGTCTCATTTCATTGAGTCGATACTACTTTTTACTGGTTATTAATGGATTAACAGACATTTTAAAAACAATTGATTCAACGGTACACGTTCAGTCAAAAATATTTCGAAAATTTATCAAATAACTATCATTTCTTTTTTTTCTTTCATAGCGTTTTGGTGGACTTGATCAAGAAAAGAATATTTATGAATCATATTTTATTGTTTTGGATACTGTTGAACAATGTCTAGCCAATGTGAGATGGATATCTGGTCATCTAATCGGATAATATCATTGACATCTTCTTTTAGACAAACAATATGGGCACAAGTCGTTTGGATGAAGCAATTTATGTGAATAAATTATTGCCTGGTGTTTGCAAAGTAGGATCACTATTTGTAAAGATACTGTACAACTGATTATTTTTATTTATTCGTAGTTATTAAATGTGGTTGGCGATGGTGTAACGGTACAACATGTTCGACAATTAGCATCTCATATTTTATTCGCACTAAGTGTCAACAATTTTAGTACACTGTTTTCAAAAGTTGTTTCACGGTAAGCATTATTCTATTTCTGTACACCAAACGAAGAGCTCTGATTGATATCAGGTATGAGAAAAAAGATAAATGAGGGAATACCGTATCGGAACAAATTAGTTTTTTTTAATTCATTTTATTCTGTATCGACTTCTCTTCTTTAGCGATTTAAAACAGGTAAGAGAAACACTTGTTTATTTTACTAGTTGTGCTATTTTTGCTAAAATAAAAGTTAAAAACTAACAGTATTTTGATAATTCAGCTATTTGCTCTCATTAACACTTCCGCTCAAATCACGGTTTTGTTTATTGATTTACTTTAGTTTTATCGTTTGTTATTTTGTTTTTTTCTAGTCTAGAATGTTTGATTGCATCTGGTGACGAAACATGTGAAGCTGGTGATTTGAATTTAATCCAACATATGAATGTTGATATGAGCAAATTAACAAGACTTTTAAATGGTTTGTTTTGAAAAAAAAGGAACATTTGCTGCACTAGAATTAAATTTTATTTGTAGAGGAAGTACAAAAATGGAGATTATTGAAGAAAATACATCATATTGAACTTGTTAAAAGTGTGGAAAAAGTAAATGACAAAAATGAATTAAGTTTTCAGTTATGAGCAGTGAATTGTCTTTGAAGGCTATATGGAATTGGTTAGACACATATCCCGAAGAGTTTACAGATTTACAAAAACGTCCGAGTGCAGAATTAAGTGGTATGTATTTGAAACTTTTGTTTTACTTGTGTGTTTTTACATGAAATCATCTTTTCGTATTTAGATAATTGTGAAAAATTATTTGAATTATTAGATATATTTCAAGAGAATAATAAACGTAAAGTCCAATATATATGGCCTTTGCAAATGATGCTTTTAGTTTTATGTCCCATCATTTTGGAAGAATTAGTTTACTCTATTGAAAAAGGTGGTCCATGTTCAGAAGAACATTTAAGAAAGGTTAGAGAGAAAGGGCAACATTATTTTGGAGTAATACTAATGTGCCTTTCTCTATTTTAGCGTAATTTTATCGATAATCTTAAACGACAACTTCACTCCAATGTTAAACAGCACAGAGAAGCAGCAGCTGTAATCACATTTGTTAAATTATGCAAAGCATGAACATACATTAATAATAAAGATAGTAACAATGTTCTATTCGTTTCAGTACAATCCGTTATCGGAGATTTAAAAGTAAATAGAATAAACACTAGAAAAGGTGAGTAGATTGTGTATCTCTATCAATTTTTTTCTTTTTTGTACAGTCAATATAATTCAGTCCACAACGTCTATTTTCGCGAGGACCAGACAAGATAAATCAAGATTTAGAATTGATGATTGAATTTTTCCTTGCTTGTATTCGTTTAAATCCACATAATAATGAAGTGTTAAAAGTGTGTTTAAACTTACAAAGTCCGTCAATGTTTCATTATGTTCTTGTCAAAGCACTTTATCGAATCATTACACAATGGTGATTATTGTGGTGGCCACAAATTGATATTGTCTATTCTAAAGCAGGAGAACTAAGAAATATGTTTACCGATACGTTAAATAAAGTTAGTCAATCATCAACATTTTCAACAACGTCAATACGTAAATATATTTTCCTATATTCATTTCTTTTATAACACAAAAATCTGTTAGAAAAATGAATATCATTTCTACCTTTTTAATTTTTATCTCTAGGTATATCAGGCATCTCGGGTGTATCAACATTAAAAGATATTTTTTTCTCAACTCAACAATTTCGTTCACAATATACAAATTTTAAATTGGTTAAATCTGATAGAGATAAAGATCGTGATCGTCAGTCGGAAACCGATGGACCGAATAATCGTGAATTATTACTTTGGATTGTTCGTTTGATTATTGTGGATCCTTATTTAATGTTACATAATCCAAATAAACTCGATCATGAAACACAAATGTCTACATTTGAATTGATTAATGGTCTTGTATCACTGGTTCATGATTCATCGATGCCAGATGTTGCACATACGACCATGGAATCATTGCTCGTTTTACATGAAAAAGAAAATATTGAATTGTGGAATCCGGAAGCATGTATCAACACATTTTGGTCAATATCATCACAAGTACTCTTCTCTATTTCACAAAAATTAGTTTTACATCAAATTTACAATTATCCATCGGTCCTCAAATGGTTACGAGAAATTTTGATGTTAAGAAATACATTTTTGTTACATGATAAAGATAATGCTTATTTAGGTTCAAATATACCCATGGCTAAACATGCACATATGAAACTAGAAGTAAATTGAACAAAATAATTAGTTATCCTTTAGGTTAATACAATATTTTTGTTTTAGATTGTGTTTTTTATTTATCTCTGGTCTGTGGATATTGATGCGATAAAAACAGCTATGTCTTGTTTTTCATTATTTTGTGAAGAAGCAGAAATTCGTTTTGGTTTTGATGAAATGGCTGTACTTCAACTATTACCAAATTATAACATATACATGGAACTGTCTCATGCATCGAATAAAGTCACATGCAGAAGAAATGCACTTCAAAAGAGAATTCTATCATTGTTAAGAAAAATTGAACATGCTACCCATGGAAATAAACAAGCATGGTACGATACGTATGTGTCATAACAAAATGTCACAAAATTTCTCAATGTATATCCGAAACGGGTGGAAGATTTAACAGGAGCAACAAGTGGTAGTAGCGAAAGTGGTGGCTATAAGTTCGAAAAACAAAGAACAGGAAGAAAGAAATAACTCTTGATCAGGCTTTAGAATTATTTCAACAAAAAAAAGGGAATTTTATTAGAAATTGAAAAGATTAGAGAAGCTTTTTTAAAATATAAAAATTTATTTATAAAGTATCTTGATGAGATTATTAATAAAAAATTTCAATTGCATTCGTCAACAGAGACGCTGCCATTTCGTAAAATTGTTTTACTGTTTAGCATAAGGGTGAATATGCTCTTTGCTTTAAAAATCATATGATATGCAGAAAGATAGAAATTTATGTTAGAATAAAATTAGCCAGTTGCGAGAGCAAAGGTTTTTACATTCCATCTCAGCCGAATATTTTTTCTTAGCTCTCGTCGACTACTATCATTACAAAATCCACAGAATATTTCACTTACTTTAGCTAAAGCTGCTCATATAGCGACGAATACGAATCAATCTTTTACGAGAAACAGAGGGTAGGTACAATTTGCGTCTCGATCTAGCGGCTGCGTCTCAGCGTCTCTATTTGGATTGGCTGAAACCAACGAATAGAAATTTGTCTATTTTTTATCGATAAAATATCCAAAAATGCGTTAGTAGTTGCGTGGAGGTTAAAGAAAAAGAAGAAAAGGGAGTTTTCCTCATTGGCTGTGCGGTGGTGAATGGAACATAAACTGGCGGACAAAATTTTAAGCTATTTTATATTTTCAGTTTCTCCTTATCAATTTCAAAAGCTGATAAGCATCCAAATAGGATACTCCAGACTATGGGCTA